CCGAGCCCTGAATCCCCACCTTTCCCAGGGACCCCAGAACCCCCTTCCCGCGGTAGATCCCTGGCCCACCCTGGTCAGCTGAGATCGGGAATCTCCGGCCCCTCCCCTCGCATCCCTTTCCGTGGGGCCTGCGGGATTGGCACTAGGAGCCGCTGCAAGTCTGCCCAGCGCTGGCACTGGCACCAATCAGAGCCCAGGTGGCCCCAGGCGGTGGCCATCGAGCCAGGCGGATGGACAGGTCTGTCCTCCTCAGGTGGCTGAGGCAGGGGTGTGGGGAGGGGGTACCAGTGTGACAGGCCAGCTGGAGGGCTCCCGTGTGGCTTCCACAGTTTGGGGGTGGGTAGGTGAGTGGGGCAAGTTCCTGCAACTGCTCGGGTCTCTGTTTACTCCTCTGAAAAAGGGGCAAACATTAAATCTCCAACAAACGGTTATGAGGTACCTGCTGTCTGCCAGGGGACACTGTTCAGTATGCTGGGCACACAGTAGGGACCAAGTAGTGCCCCCATGGAGCCCACAGCCAAGACAATAAGCAAAAACTGAAAGGTCCCAGGAGTGTGTGCCAAATGTAGATTCAGATAGCTTCCCCACCGGCCTGGCGTGGGAAGGGGCCAGCACGTAGTAGGTGCTCAGTAAATACTTAATTGAACAACTGTCCCTTCGGTTTCCTATACATCTTTCCGAGGCAGTCTGGTTATGTTTTGCCTTCCAGGTCTTGTAACATTTATATACACAGTAGGTCCTTGGGTTACGTCAGAGATCCGTTCCTACTGCGAGAAGGCAATTTTCGCCGTAAGTCGGAACCCACCTGCATAAGCACCCTGTTGCCTCCTGCATGTGCCCTGACTAGGGCCCAGCCTGGGAGGAGCCTGCAACTGAGGTACATGCCCCTGACAGGAATCGAATCCGGGACCCTTTGGTCCGAAGGCCGACGCTCTGTCCACTGAGCCAAACCGGCTAGGGCTTGTAACATTTCTTAATTAGCCAAAAAGGAGTGACTTGTGCCCCTACTATGCACCAGTCGTGGTGGTAGCAGACTAGACTCACTGTTGATTGTCCCCCACACTAGGAAGTCAGCTCCACCGTTTGGGTCTCTGCTATTTCCTTCTCCCCATCAGCATTTCAACATGTGAGGCTATTTCCATTTTTGAAACAGCCAGGCAGCCGCGTACTTCCTTACATCCTTCTCCCCAGGGCGCCTTTCTGCTCTGCACCACTCCTGTCTGCTCAGTCATGCCCCCTGTGCCCCCACTCCCGGAGGCCGGCACGCCCCATGCTCTCTCTGCCCTGCGCTGACCTTCCTGGGTACACTGACCCTGGCCCTGGTGCCCGGTGGGACCATATGACGTCTGCTTCAAATGGATTGTTAAGAAATCCTGAATCAGCCCTAACCGGTTTGGCTCAGTGGATAGAGCGTTGGCCTGCGGACTGAAGGGTCCCAGGTTTGATTCCGGTCAAGGGCATGTACCTTGGTTGCGGGCACATCCCCAGTGGGGGGTGTGCAGGAGGCAGCTGATCAGTGTTTCTCTCTCACTGATGTTGCTACTCTATGTCCCTCTCCCTTCTCTCTGTAAAAAAATCAATAAAATATATTAAAAAAAGAAAAGAAATCCTGAATCGTAGACTGGGGTCCCTCAAAATCAGCACTCAGCAGCATTTGGGGCCAGATCATTCTCTCTGGAGGGCTGTGCTGGGTACTGTGGGGAACTGTTGAGTGGCCTCCACCCACTCGATGACGATAGGGCACTTTCTCCAGAGTATTGACAACCAGAAATGTCCCCAGACATCACCCAGTGCTCCCTGGGGGAAGGAGTTGTTCCCAGTTGAGAAGCTCTGCTCTAGGCTGTAGATTTTCACCGTGGGTGCTAGGGAGAGACAGACTTGTATGGGAGCTTATGTGGTGGTGGAGGGCTCCACGGTACCTGAGGTGATGCCATGGGACCTGAGAGTGAGTTTTGAGAGAAAGGTCCCCCAGGCAAAGGTCTGGGGATAAGGTGCTCCAAGCAGAGGAAACAGCACCTACAAAGAGCCTGAAGTGGGAATCAGCATGGCATTTTTGAGAAATAGAGAGAAGAGGACATGGCCTCCATATGGAATGACAACGCTGTTAGGCATAGAGCCAGCATGCAGTGATGGTTAGTGCACCATATTAATAATGCTATTTGTATCGGTTAGCTACATACAGCTGTGTAACAAATCACCCCAGAACTCTGTGGCTTAAAATCAACAAACACATAGGATCTCGCACAGTTTCTGAGGGTCAGGCATCGAGGGGCAGATAGGTGAGTGGTTCTGTCTCGGATTCTTTCATGAGGTCAGTCAAGCTGTCAGCTGGGCTGCTTCATCTGAAGACTTGCCTGGGGCTGGAGTC